ACAACTGTCGCGGAAGTGAAAGCCAGACAGACCGCTGCGGCTCGCAGCAGTCCGACAGCGATTTTCGGTTGAGTGGACACGAAGTGAGGAAGGATAGTTAGGAACACGAGGCCCAGTGCGCAGCTCGACACCCCTCGTTGTGCCATTTTCCCCTCTCCTACTTTGGAGATAGCACGACGGACGTATCCTCCCTGTAAAAGAGCACTGATGATGCCAATGAAGCCAATTAATGCTCCATTCTGTTTGTTATTCCAATCGAATACTGTCATCGGAGTTTTTAACGCATGATTTCAGGAGCATGTTAACAATGACGCACGATCGAAGGTAAGGAAAGTGAGGGTGAATTCCACGCCTGAGAAGATTCCTAAGAAAAGGAAATGGAGCTTGCGCAAGACCCGCAAAATTTCAGTCCTCTCTTGCACACTCCGTACCGCAGAAACAGCATTCAACTTCCCGTTGGCATGGACTTCTGGCTTGTCAGGTTGGGTATTTCGGGTTTCGGGAAGAGCAACTGTTAGGAACAAGGTCTCTGCGATAAGCAGTACGAGCGTCAATAATGCCGGGACCGCGTAGACGTTCAATTCCATTTGTAGAGCCCCTACAAATAGGGGAACTGGCCTCGAGGCAAAATAGGCTCCGATCGGGGGCCCAATACAAAAACAGATAGCAAACGCAATTCCAACATGGGCAAGGGCTTTAGATCGGTTCCTAGGCGTTGAAATATCAGAGAGGATGGCACTGTTGACGATGTCGGTCAGTTCCAGTCCTTGGATTATGACAGAGAACTGACGTAGCAAGTTGCACGTTGCCTTCACTAAGACCCCCTACGACGCGGGAAAGCATGTAAGAAGCAAAAGTGGTTGACTGGATCCAACTGGCGGAGAATCGGTTCAGGAACTCAATGATAAGAATGACTTCAGTGCTCACATGAGCGCGGACAATATATTTCCTATCATAGTGACCAAAAGGACATTCCTGCGCCCATAAGTGTCGGAGAGAGATCCTATATGCGGCGATACCAAGAACTGTAGAGTGCTGCAAATACCAAGTGAATACAACCTTAAATAAACTGGGAACGCGACTCGAAGACATACGAGAAAGCGGAACCCATCAAACCACCTTGAATAATTATCAGATCAGTATAAACCACGTCCTATGATTGAAACTAGACCAACCAAGGAAAACTACATCCCATCTCTGAGAGTTTTGTAGTGGCTTATAGAAGATGCCTCGCACCGCCGAAACAAACCGCAGTGTTCTGGAAAGGAGGCCATTGGGGTCGGAAATTTCTCTCTACATAATCAATGAAGGAAATAGAGACACGTAGCATGGGATACTTACCACCGTATACCACTCGATTATGCGAGGAAACAAGGGTAGAGGTATTGTAAATGCTTTGCCGAGGCTTCAGACTCATTTCAAAACTGAACATGGCATTGGCACTCACCAAAGAGATCAAGAACGAGCGACAGAAAGACTATACGTTCTACTTTTCCCATATTCACTTTCAGATGCGCAAGCTTAGAGGATAGTATTCACGAGCCGCGTTCGAACTGCGCAAGTGAATACGATAGGCCACGTCAAAAGTTTGGCGATCTAAATAACGGAAGTTCAGCTAATGGGAAAAGTGACTCGCAAACCAGTTGCGAGTACACCAGAGTGCTAGTTGTTTGGATGAATTACGCAGAGGCGGTACATGTATGTGTAGCGGTTCATCACATATGCACTGCGTTATGATCGGCTACGTGACTGTGGGACTACTTTCCCCCGAAAGGCAGACTGGACATTCAATAAATCCCCGGGTCCAGATACCTAGTACTACAGAAGACATTCTACTACTATGTATCCAACATATTTGATGCTTCCATCTCTGTGTCACCGTCATCCAATTCTGCAACATCTCCTGCTACTACACCTCGGAACTGCTGGTCTTCAGAAGCCTGAGTAAGACCAGTCTGGAAATGCGAACTCGTCTCAGTCTTGGTGATCTCTCGCAATGCCATCGTGGCGTATGCGGCCGTCCCGAGTGTTAAGTTTATCTGGAGCGCGCGAAATTTCCCATCGTCAACGACAGCTGGTGGGTCAAACCCAAGGAGCTTGTCTTCGTCTGCTTGTGCAAGTGGGACGTCTGGGTCTGTGTACCTGAGTATAGACCACGAGAGATCTTTTGGAACCTGGAGGATTTTCCGGTAGGAGCCATTAAGAGTGTACTCTCTGGAGATGTCCTGTCAGTTTCGCTTATGGTGGGACTGATCTAGCGTACTTTTGTTTGCGAATGAAGTTATCCGGGTCGAGTCCATCCAAGCGCAGGAATTCCCGATAGCGCTCCCCGAGTGTACCACCTGGGTAATCAACATCTCTACCCGGGAGTGGCATGATTACGTCAAATATCGAGTACTGGTGGGCATCCTCTTCAGTGAGTATTTTGATACTTGGTGCAACATAAGCAGCCTTGGCAGCTTTCTTGCGCTCACGAGAGCTCATGCCTCAAATGACAAAATTTCAATCAGAACAACATAACAAATAGAAAAGAAACTGACCCTTTTCCTCTGTGGTGGCTTGCTTCTCATTATCATTACCCGCATCATCGTCCACTTCCATCCCATCATTCTCTCCACTCCCTCCCTTAGTGGCTGGCTCGCTCTCGAAAACAATATCACCAGGTACCGCTTTGTCAGGACCGTGTATACGAATTCGCTCCGAGACGATGGCATTCCACACGTAGGATTGGTATGCATGGACATACATGAGCCGCAAGTTTCGAGGAATCTAGATTGAACTATATGAATAACAGCAGTGTTACTAGAATCTTGACATACCGTAGACAAGGCACCCATTGCGTTCCTGGTTTCTCCACCTTGCTTTTTGTAGCTCTCGAGAATGCAGCGCTCCGCAACCACTCGTCTGGGCATTAAAGCCAGGGCACGATCCAAATCACCATCCACTAACCACGCGTCACGGGCTGCGACAACTTCAGGGTGTTCTCCAGGCCGATTCTGGAGGATGAGGGAAACAGCTTTGTGCCAATCAGATTTCAGAATTGCCAAGCCAATGGAGTGAGTTGGCACTGCGGCCGTCCCAAAGCGCTGCATTCCTAGAGTTGTACTTCAGACGAATCAGTAGTTTGCTGGATATCGAACTCACCGTAGTAATTGATGAACCCTTTGTGCTTGATCGAGTTCATGGCACGGTCAAGAGTTTCTACATTTTTTACCTGAACGTTACTTCATAACCTTGTCAACGAAGTTCAGAACAGTACCACTTGAAACGTACCGAAGTGTGATAACGAAGGCATTTCCTTTCAGCATACCAAGCTCTAAACCAGCCTTGCGATAATTGAAATCCGTTATTCTGACTCCACGGTCACCACGCTGGGACAATATATCTTGCACGGATCGCCTGTTGAATTGATTCGCAGATTTCCATATATCCTCCACAGTTTTGTTCCCGCGTCGCAATGACACGCGCTGGACGGTAACGCCGCGTTTGTCTTTTGTCCCCGCAACAGCCAAGTCTTTTATGTTTACATGGAGAGTACGTGATAAGTAGCCGAGAGCGTCTTGGGTATCACGGTTGGTTTTCTGGAGAGTAAAATGAATATAAGGAGGATGGTTCCCCCTGTCCGAGCGGTCGCCCCGACCTACGAAGTTATCAGAAGAGTGATAAGAGATCTCTGAAAACAAATGGTGAAACATACCTCCACGGCTTCCGCGACCACCACCGCGACCACCGCCATGGCGTGACCATTTTATAACTATGCGAGATCCATCGTCCCCAGTAGGTGCGGACATATCAGTCTCGCTGTCAAGCTTCCCACCGAATAACTCTCGAACAACTTGATGCAGAACCGTTCGGTCCGTTTTGGAGCAAATTGGCTGCCAAGGGGTAAGGGCACATGGTAAGAGAACCTAGTATCTCGTCTTACCTCGCTGAGGACTTTTCTGTGATCTTCTCTTTCTCCTCCCTGCCGGCCACCACGACCTCGTCCGCGACCACCGCGGCCACCACGACCACCACGGTCACCGCGACCGTTACGGTTCTTTCCTCTTTTCGCCGTGTCATCGCTCTGCAATGCATCCACTTCTTCTGATGGCTTCGCCGCATCTGGGGTTTCAGTACTGTCCTCGGTAGTTTTGACAAGCCGACTTCCCCAACCGCTGTCGGTCGCTCTCGGAGGCTCGCGTCCTTCAAGGAACATTGTTTTCAATTGGTCGATAGAAGCCTCGCTAAGATACGGGGCTAGTTTTTCCGTGAATTGGTCATTCCAGGGTATGTCCGCGGGAGTGGAATCATCTTTGTCCTTTGCTTCAGTGCTAGTAGACAGTTCCTCTACAGTATTCGACTCAGCGCTGGTGACGGGCTCCTGTGGTTGGGCTATTGAGGCCCCAGCATCGGCGGTACTGGAACTTCCCTCATTGGTACCTTTTCCCTTCTTCGAAGATGACTCTGGCATGTCCAACGACTTGAGATGAATGACCTGGTGATCTTGATTCACTTCGAACACTAAGAAGTCTGTAAACCTATGGCGAATTCATGTCCGATTGTAGTTCCATTATAAACACGAACACTTACCGCTGTTTTATGATACCACTGATGGGAGGGACGTCCCGGCTTATGTACTCGGAGATCCCAACATCGGTCTGAAGGACCTGACGAAGGCCATTCGATGAGAACGTAGGCGCTATGCCTAGGAGAGCATGGCTAGGAGGAAGGACACTTTCAGCTGCAACTGCTGAAGTGCTCTCTTTTGACTCTCCAGCAGCAATAGTCGCACTCATGAGCGGGGAGGTGTCTGCGACGATGGGCCCATCATCCACCAGCTCGTCGACTTTGGCGCGTTTGGGTGAACGAGCCAGCCCTTCATCATCTTCACGTTCCCGGATAGCTGAAGACGACATTTTAATGGTTGATCGAGAACAGTCAAAAAGCCTGAGAATAGATAAGATAGCAAAACCAAATTTATCCTAGATGAAATCAAGCTCGTCTTGCTAGTGACCATCATGTCGTCTCCTCATCTCCAGACATACAACGAGCGAGCAAAGAAACATGCCAACAAAGCCGCGAGGGCTTTGCTCGGAGTCATGGAGGAAAAGCAGTCAAATCTCTCTGTCAGCGTCGATGTGACTAAATCCAAAGACTTCTTCGACATCATCGAGGCAGTTGGTCCTCATGTTTGTCTTATAAAGGCATCTGTCACTTCTTCCGAACTCTCAATTAATGCTTATGGCGCTACCGAAAGACCCACATCGATATACTCGAAGATTTTGATCCGACTGTGATTGACCGCCTCCGAGAGCTTAGCGAAAAACACAAGTTCTCGATATTTGAGGATCGTAAATTCGCTGACATAGGTAAGCTGTTGCAGATTTCGGATGACAGTTTACTGATATCACAACTCTTAGGAAGTACCGTGGCATTGCAGTATTCGAAAGGGATCTACAAGATCGCGGACTGGGCTCATATTACCAACGCTCACGCTGTTCCGGGGCCATCGATTATCACTGGCCTAGCCTCGGTTGGCATTCCCAAAGATCGGGGGCTCATACTCCTGGCAGAAATGAGCTCCAAGGGTGCACTAACCACTGGGTCATATACAGAAGATGCAGTTCGTATGGCTCGAGCTCGCAGGGATTTTGTCATCGGCTTCATTGCTCAACATCGCATGGAAGGTATTGGTGCATCCGATACCGACAATATTGCGGGGGAAGATTTCTTGGTTCTCGCGCCAGGAGTAGGCTTAGATGCCACAGGCGATGCCATGGGTCAGCAATACCGCACTCCAGAGCAAGTCGTTTTTGAAAGTGGTTGTGACGTTATCATTGTTGGAAGAGGCATTTATGGCAAGGGTGAAAACGTGGATACACGGGAGGTTCTTAAGCAAGCTCAGAGATATCAAGCTGCTGGTTGGGAAGCATACAAAAAGCGCGTTCAGCGCACATAAGTAGCAGGGTATAAATAACCATACGAGCTTACTTGGAAATACTTCCACCATATTTTACTTAATGGCGCATCACACCTTTATCCGACGCCACCACCATCCAGCGTCTCTGTTTCCTGTTGTCTTCTCTCCTCCTCTCTTGCTTCTCTTTCTTCTGCTTCTACGACTTCGACATCGAGAGGAAACGTGAGTATTGCAGCAATACCCGTTAGTTGATTCAACTCTGGGTCCTCATGAGTACGATAAATAGAGGCACGTTAGACACATACGTTGACCGGATTCGTGCATGCTCGAGAACATGACAACTTCTGCACCCTTTTGTTGCACTCCTTCGACGAGTTCGACATATGTCTTCCGCAGCTTCGGGTCACTCGCACTGTCCAAATTGCTTGAGCTGCAGTATGCCAGTGTGTGACACAATCATCTCACCGGAAAAGCTCGTCGGAGATGAGGAGCGTCCCTATGGCTCCACGGTCTGCCGCTAAACGGACATGATCAGGACCATACCACGCGCGCATCTCGTCCACACCAAGCATCTTGAAGAACCTGACAAAAAAAGTAATCAACATTAACAGTCCAGCTGCCACCACGTGCATGCCTACTTATCAAGAACTATTCCCTCGCGCGCAAATTTTGTTTCCTTGAGCTGTGCAACAATCTGCAAGTGCAGTAAATGCACCTGTGCGATAAAGTCTTATACCAAAAACCCTACCTCTGGACTCTTGAGAACTTCGACAAGACTGTGGACGTGCGCGCTACTAACATGCACTTTCACGGTCTTTTCTCGCAAAGCCTTGGTCAACGTCTTGTCCCCCCTCCTCCCGGCTTCTGTTATCATAGCATTGAAAACACCTTCTCGTACCCAACCTGGGCTTGCAAACACAATTGCTCGCAGACTAGGTGACGTATAAGGTATGTGTCGCACAAATGCCTCGTAGAGTATGACATAAAATTTCGCCATCGCCTTCTCGTATTGAGATGTTCCAGGGGCAGAAGCCTTGCGTGGTATTGGAACCGATATCCGATGGGTGACCAGTGTCATGTGTTGTGAAAGGAGACAAAACGCGGCTGTGCCTTCTCCACATACAACTGCGCCTACCTCCGCGCCGCGTCCCGGCACACAAGCTTCCTCGACACGAGCAAGGGCCACACTGTCCCATCCATCGACCTTCTCGATGCGTATATCGCGGTTACTCTCAATGTCAAGCGTATGAAACGCGCCCATCTTCACATGTCGGTTTTCAGATGCAACAGGGCCAGAGATATGCAGCGCTGAAGTGGTTATGGGTGCCGCAGCTGAAGATCCTGCAGGGGATGAAGTTTGATCCGCTGATGATGAAGGTGCTCCTGATGAGGAGAATTCGACTCGGGATACTTGGATGGTGAGGTTCAACTTGACACGATGAGATTCCGTAGATCCAGTAGCAGATACACTCTGTATGCGACTATCAAATATTTAGTATGTTAGAGAATCGCTGATCACGCAAATGTCCTACCGAATGGCTGGTGCTCGCACAAGGTCACCTTGTTGTATAATGTTGTAGAGATGCCACATATCTTCATCATCCTCGGGTCGGAGGTTGACATAGCCCTGTTCAAATCAATTAATCGATCATTCGCTAACGAACACCGTGAACGACTCACGGTCCCGTTTTTGTCGACAAATTTACCGATGAGCTTCATCGTGGAGAGTGATTGACGTAAAGTCCTACTCTGCAGTTGAAGCTGCACCCAAAAGGGGCCTAAACAAGTAATCGCGTGCTCTCAGTCAATCCATCAATCCACTGTCCATTGAGCTTGCTATTGTCCTCACAATTCTCCAGCTATTCACAGCTTGCAAGAGTTAGTAGTGGAAATATGAACAATGTGTGAGTCAGAAATGAGCACACAGCAACTTCTGCTAGCTCATCATGACCAGAATACATTCGAAGTTAGACTCTCTAGCATCGCGTCTCGTAGATTCCAATGATTCCCGGGAGGAAGATCAAGAAGACGACGATGCTATCTTTGCAGAACTCGAAGCAGAGATAGAGAACGACGCTGATGCAACAGTGCGAGATCGGGGCCTAGAGCAGCTCAGGCTCGAGTGAGTCGTGCGTTCCATTAGTGTTCATTGTCCAACAAACGACATAAACGTCTGCAGAATGCAAAGAGCCAAAGAAATGAGAGAAAATGCCCATGGGAGATATATGGAGATCACGAACGAGAAAGAGGCCATCCGGATAAGTGGGTGAGTCGCCCACTCTGTTCGTCTCGTTCTTTGCTACATCATCGTGCTTTTAGGAATGAGTCACACTGCGTGATTCATTTTTACCATAGCAATTTCAGGAGATGTGAGATCATGGACAAGCACCTCGCAGTGAGTAATGGTTCGTGCCTCGAAGAAAGCAGATTACTGATGGATTCATATAAGAAACTTGCGCCAAAATACTATGCTACGCGTTTTATTCGCGTCTTCGTGGAGAATATGCCATGGCTAGTTGAGAAGCTTGCCATTAAAGTCCTTCCATGTTTGATGTGCTTCGTCGATGGGGTGTCAAAAGACCGGTATGTCTTATGGTCTTGTCAATGTCATTCAGTCATTCATCTATTCTTAGTCTTATTGGGTTCGAAGAACTCGGGAATAATGATGCGTTTGAGACTGCGGTACTCGAGCTTAGGCTAGCGAACAGCGGTAGTGATCTCGCCTATACCTCGTCACTTATGTCTAATCGTCCTTCGACAGGTGTCCTTCAAAAAGCGCGAAATGCTTATGAATCTGGTATCACATACAACGTCTCGTCATCTTCAAACACAAGTAAATTACGAAGGGGTGGACAGACAGATCAGGATGACGACGAGTTTGATTTATGATGGTTTGCTCCATCGCTCTACTTGTCATCTCGTATTCCTAATGCTACGTGCAAATCGTGCTGGTCACTCTTCACCAGGTGTCTTATACCTCCTAATAGCCCTCACTCTCGCTTCAGCATGGTTGACGATGGGTCTCGGATACCCCAATTTATCAGCAACCTTGGCCGGAGGGTTGTGGATATCTGCATTTGTAAAACAAACATCGGTTGAACGCCGAGCAGCGAGTTAACCTACACTTACCAGATCCATAAAGACTCTTCAACTCTGGTACGAATGTCCTTATAAAATCACCTGTTGGATCTGCCTTGGAGGACTGTGTATAAGGATTGAAGATCCGGAAGTAGGGTACTGGGTCTACTCCAGTGGAGGCACTCCATTGCCAGCCACCGTTGTTACTTGCAAGATCACCATCTATGAGTTTTTCCATGAAGTACTGCAAGCGCTCGTCAGGAAAGCGCATAAAAATGAAAATGAAGAGACGAGCTCACGCGCTCTCCTAGCCGCCAATCCAACATAAGATCCTTTGATAGGAACATAGCGACAATCATGCGCATACGATTATGAGTCCAACCTGACAGTCTGATGAGTCCAGATTCCGAAGGATCGATACAAAACATACCCATGGTATTTATCTGCCTCATCGCGGCATCGACGATAGGGATGCCAGTTTTCCCCTCTTTCCAAGCATTCAGGTGCTCCTCGTTAACCTCCCACTTGACATCACCAAACTTCTCTTGGAAGGGTCGACCCATGGATACTCGCGGGTAGTATGCGAGGACGTTGGTGTAAAAGTCTCGCCAGGCTATTCCATCATACATCAATTATGCGTCCAGTGCATTTGAAAGAAACAGACCGAGTTCCTGCACCCAGCGACCTACGCCTGATGACCGTCCAGCCTCCACTTTCTGAATTCTAAGAAGCTTCATAGTTTGACGAACGCATTCCCTGACAGAAATGACCCCAGCAGATAAATAGGGGCTCAACCGCGACGTAGTATCCTTGTCCCCTCTGTCACGAGCCTCGTCATACAAGAGGACTCGGCTGCGTTTGTCGGAATTCTCGGCTCCATCAGCTAGAGGATCAACAGCTCCAAGCTGCGTCGCACGCGCTTTGGTGTACAAGAACCGAGAGATCATCTGATAAAGGTTTAATTATGATCACCCCCTTCTAGTGCAACACTCGCCTCTTTGGCAGAAGGTGTTCCTGCTGGCCATATGTTTGCCATATTGGCAGCCTCTTCAGGATCAAGTTCGAAGCCATGCACCGACACAGGTACATCGACTTCGAATAACGGGCCAAAGACATTATTCTCCCTGATTATCGAGGGATTGGATGTTGGAGATGGGAACTCCTTCAGATAATCTGAGAGGTTCGAATTTAAAATGCTGATCCAGTTTCGTTGATACGGCGAGTAGACCTGAAAGGCACATGCTGAGAATAACAACTTGAAAGCAATGATAGGGAGAATGTACCGTGTATGTCCTCCCATCCTTCGTTTTCACGACGCCCGGCTCGATGATACACCTATCGTGCACATACGTAGGCCTGATTCCCGCGTTCTGGGCTAAAGAGCAGACTTCAGTATCACGCCGAAGCTCATCAACCTCATATTCGAAGTTCGCAAAGAGTCGAGTGGATTGGAGAGTCTGCAGGACCGAGATAACACGAGTTGGCACTGACTTTCGCGGTGTATGCGTGATAGTGTAAAGGGGAATATTTAATCTTGCAAGCTCGTCCTACCAAAGTATAAATTAGCCTTCCGTAGTGATGGGGTAACATAAATCTGTCTCACCTTCACTCGTGAAAGGTTACGAAGAACAAAATCGATTCTTGTTTTGCTCCTGTCATGTGCGATATAATCCTGGGGGCTCAAGACATGCAAGACTACAAGCGGGACTTGATCTTCAACTGCCTGAGCCGATGCGAGGGCGAGAGCTTTATTATCGGAAACTGGAATAGGGAGTTGATCAAGATGGATACGCATGTTGAACCAAGCAGCAACACTTACTTCGTAAGTCTCCCATCCTCATCCAGTAAACTATCGATTGTCCTTTCGAGGGCTTCTGTACAACATTGTGCAATGCGTCTAGGAGTCGCAGGAACGGTGGGTGAGTCTGAACGGAAGCTGCAGCTTCTTCTGTTGCAATCTTTATGGGTGCAAAGAGAGAGTCAGTGGTCCTGCCTTTCTTTGACATCGCAAGTGGGCTCGGGCTACGAGTTCTCTTCATCATGGTCGTAAAGAAAGAAGGAATATGGACTTCTGCTGGTCTGAGTCCTTTGTAATATATAGGCGATTAGTAGTCCACATCGTAATTCTCCGCTTGGGATCGACGCGATTTGATAACCTAGCTCGATCGCATGACATCATCCCAGATGCGAAACTAGGCTTTGTCATCAAGTGGTGTTTAAACTTACCTGCCGGACTGCCCCAATGATTGAGTCCAAATCCCTGCTTGCATTAAGACTTTACAAGAATCTCACTTTTCCATGCACAACTCGAATACTACATATTCCTGACGCTACACGGAATCACAACAAGCCATGATTCGAATTGGTATCCAATTAACCAGCACTTCACAAAGCAAGCTTTCGACCAATTCAGCACATCGACGTCAGTGTTATTTGCAACGCTCACCAAAGCCAAATGACCACCAACGACTGGGCGGGCTCTAAATCCATACACAGTACCATCAAGCGTCTCATACAAGTCCCCCAACGGCTTGTTACTCTCACCGTCGGCAGCATACTTGTAGACAGAGTCAATGAACATATCTCGCGTCGCCGTATTGGTCATAATGGCAGCAGTCCATAACTCCCAGTCGGATTTAGTGTATGTGTGGCTATGAGTCTGTTGGTTTTGTTGTTCACTTAGATCGAGAAACAACTCACCGAGTGTCCAAAGGGACGCCATAAGTATCTTGAAGGGATAGTTGTATGCGTGCGTGAATCATCATTCCATGTTGATTGCATGCGATTCACTCACTGACAACTGTGGCATACCATGCGGTCTCTGTGAAGCTGTTCAAAACTGTTCAGAGCGATTGACATTCGGACTTACGCATGTCGTAGACAGACTCTGGGAAAACATTGGTGCCGAGTAACTTATCCGCATACAGGTTGTATGATAAGCCCCAACTTGACACCGTCAGCGACGTCGCGCAAAACGCAGATTTCCATAAGGGAGACTTACGAGTTTTCATTTCCGTAATTCAAGGTGAGGTGCAGCCCGTCGCTCGATGTGGCATAGTCAAGTAATTGCGGAACATAGTGCTGCACGATTGACTGAACGTTCGAGGAGTAAGTTCATGTCAATCTAGAACATCAACAATAACGTACGCTGTAATTCTGTTGATTGACGGTATCGCCCAATATGCCCGAAATTATAGACATAGCCTGGATGCCTATCACACCCTTGATGGCTAGATTGGTTTGATTGGCAAGAGCCCCCGCAAAATCATCTGTGCTGATCTGATTTGCGGGAATAAGTGCTTCTGCGACGAGGTATCCGGTCCATTGGTTGAGGAGGTCCGTCTGTAGAAAGTGGTGAATGTATGGGGGACGCGGTCATGGTGAGCACTGACATATCGGGTGATCAAGGAGGTGTCATAAGATTTCTGAGTGTAACTCAAGACCATGATAAGCATATTGCCGCACTCTGAAAGTATAGGCGTTGAGAAATCGAGTTATGTACATAGAAAGGGAAATCACCTTCGAGAGGCATGGCTTCATCGTTACCAGCATTGTGGCCCGTAGCGTTGGGGTACGATTTACCTAATTCATAATAGAGGAATTAGGGAATCTCAGCGATTCTTCGTAGAAGACAAACCAAGATCGTGAGCAGCCCAAGCGTTGGGATATTGACCGGTAGCTTGGTACGCAAGGAGGCCGAGCAGCAGATATTTTCCAAGTGGAGGATTGGCGTACAAGAGAATAGGCCACGCAGGCATCATGACATCCACAGTGTTCACGTTCTGCAGTTGCAAGGGTGAGCAACCCACAGCTCCAAAGCGTATCACCTACGCCATCACTAGAGATCTCTGGGGTTTTCACGTCAGAACAACTAGTTTTGGTTGAAAGCAGCCATATATTACCTTTCAAGAATATCAGGATATCATCTGCGTTCCAACTTCTATCACTTTTCTTCGACAACGTGAGCTCCAAAGCTCCGAAGGCCTGGCGAACCGACAGCGCGACGACAGCAGCATAATTACTCGAAATAGCCGAGGCGTCGCTCTGGACCTTCCGGTCGAACGCTTGCGCGCGTCCCAGAGCAGCAAAGTAGTCCCCAACGAAGTCAGAAATCTGGAACATGACTTCCAAAACTAGCGCTAAATCAGAACAGACTAGAGACGCACCAAGTCCGCGACGCTTGAGTAAGCGCTCCAGAAGTAAATACTTCGGGGTTGGTAGACATCGTTCGCGACGATGTACTGGATTGCCGGATCTCTGACATGACCCACGGTGTAGATTACAGGGATAGTTGCATTGGTCGACACGGTGCCAAGGTCGTGAGCGAAAGCAAAGACTGGCCAATCGTTGCTGACGGCACGAAAATTGATGTCCTCGGTGTTGGCAAGAACACCATTGTTGATGAATTGAGCTCGAACAATGGTGTCTTGGCCAGTTTGGTACGTCACAGAGGAAGACTGAAGAAGAAATCAGCATGAGAATGGAAACTGAGCGACAAAGATACATACATTCTGGGTAGAGTAATAGGCTGCACCCTCTATAAAGAACGATCTGAGTCAGTCAGCCAATAAGCTGTACTCGTCACTCACGTTGAATATGATCGTTATATTCGGTATACAACTCCTGGTTCTCAAGCATGACCTGATGAGTCAAGATGTTGCCGGTAGTAGTGGTCCAGTTGACCGTCAGAGAGTCATCTCCGGATACCCATTCTGCGCTTATGTCGGTATATACACTGACAGTATGCGATCCTCCATCATTAGACACTGCGGACAGTGCCAGATACGAGAAGGGGATGGACTGCTTAAGGAAGTCTGTGGGCTAACGATAACTTGTTGTAATGTAAAGGCAAAAAACACCATGTATACCTCTACAGGGCTAAGGAAGTTCACATTTATGTCCACCGGCCCGGCAGTCATCACGAAAATACTTTGCGTTGAAGTGAACTGCATCATGTATAAGTGTGCTCTCATGCATACGATCAAACCACAATCACCTCCAGGCTTTTTTGGATGGCAGATTTAGCGCCTGGAACAACGGGATCACCCAAAAAGGTATACGTGGCGCCATCAACTCTGATATAACCAGCCCATCCAAGAGTCTGCACGACAATGTCTTCGTCAATGTTCAAATATGTATAATGAAAAAAGCTCACCGATCCGGTCCAAAACTGGGGCCAGGCACCGTTCAGCGCTGTACCAGCACCTTGTGGCAACCACACAGACAGGTAAGGTGTCCGAACTGCAAGTGGGACGGATGGGGGATTGAAAGGAGTTGCATTCCAAGAGACAGAAGAAGCGATCAGCGCTGATGTGGCTGATGAGAGAAACTTTGCGCCCATGATAAGTAATGGGTATACAAATGAGATGGTAGAGATCGTCATCAAGGTCTCCGCCTGATCGCAATCCACCATTTTATATCCAGCGCGACCCTAAATTCAACGTAAGCGGTGCTTGCTTCGAATCATCATGACTTACTAAAAACAGACGATTTCTATTCAACGATCCCCGAGCCAGCGCACAGCATGATGCGGCACCGACGATCATGCATATGTTCTGCCGCTCCATAAGGGCCTTACGTCAAAATCCACACTTTAGAGTAGTCACGAGTCTAACTCACATAAGTCTTATACACTGTGGTCCTTTTCAAGCCATTAGTTGTGCTCTCGCCATGGGTATCTTGGGAAGTTGAAGTTCATATCTGCAATGCTAAGTACGAAGAAGTCAACGTCAACTTCGTTTTCCAGAGCATCCTGCGAACAGAAGCCATAACGACGGTCCCTGCGATTCATTCCTGTGTATTCTCACCCGCTGACAATTTACCGGATGAGAAACGCACAGGAAGAACCGCAGGTGGATATCTTCTCCAAGATGATAAACTGATCAGGGTTGCGCAACCTAGTTAGAAGCAACACAGCACAAACAGACCTGTCCAGCTGGGCTCTCGTAGCATACCTCGAGCAATCGATAATCAAACGATAGCTGGGCCGGCGCAGAATGCCACCGCATAGATGATGATGATCGTGAGATGCAGACTTGTGGCGACGTAGCCCAGCCACCGCCATTTACGTCATGTGACCTCAAACCCAAAGAGGCGCGCAAACGGTCTTGCACACGGCACCCTTCTCATAGCAAACCTTCCGCAGGCTGGTTAACTTGTCCGTGCACTCAAGCACTGTCAATGGACCTCCCTACACCCAGGGAACTAGACCTTGAGACCGAGCTCAGAAAACGGGATGCTCAGGTCGCTGAACTTACGGTAAGGTTTCCAGGCGCCGATTGTCGCGCACTGTTTGTTGTATTGATAGACTCGGTCTTGTCTTGTCTAGGATGAAGTTACACGTCTTCGTGAACATCTTGCTGCCCAGAGTGGCGCATCAACCACAGACCTGGTTACGTTGCCCCCTGCGCTAGTCTCTGTGTTGTTACCGCATATCAACAAGGCGGCTTCTAGTGAAGGAACAGGAGTGGCTTCTTCGTCGAGTACAGTTAACACCGCGCTAACGCAGAGGGTGCGCATACTGCAAGAGGAGAACGATGAACTGTATGAAATGCTCAAGTCCGGGGAGACTGGGAAGCTTAAGGAGGAGGTTTGCGGACTCCGACGAGTTGTGGAGAGATTAGAAGGAGCTTTGCGAGGCATGCGTTTTATTGTCTATTTTTCTGTTAACTGTCCCTTACGTGCAGCATGTTTTATTAGAATCTCATCAAGTAATCGCTTCACTGTCGTGAGTGACCTCATAGGCTAGGTGTATCTTCACTGACGCCTAGACACCACAGGTCGGAACTAGACAAGTCCTATGAAAGCTTCCAGACTTCTCTGCGTCAAATGAACGCTAACCATCATTCATACGCGCCTACCCCTCGTGAATTATATCACCCCGCATCTACGAGTAATGGGGTAATCAAACTTCCTCCAACCGGACCGAGAGCACACAAGAAGCCACGTCTCTCTGAGCCCAAAGTGTCACCCGCACGATCTAACATTTCTCTTCCACCCACGAAACCCCACATTGGGAATGCACGCCAGAGTATTCCCAGAGATTACGAGGCTCCTCGCTCGCCTCGCTTATCCCCCACAGAGCCCCGTACAAAAGTAAGCAATGTGAAAATGGAGGTTGATGAAGATGCGCGGACACGTCCACGCTCTCCAAATGATAATAGGGACCGGGAGACGCACCGCCGGGACAAAGACCGGGCACGCGACCACGAGGGAGAGCATGGTAGAGATAGGGACCGGGATCGTTTTGCGCGGCGCAACGGTGGTGGTAGTGGGGGCGGAGGGGGACGGAGGGCTCGAGGGTTTGCAGGTCATGCGTACGCATTTGGAGATCGGACGTTGGCGGAAAGAATGGGACTTTGACCAAACATTGACATTCATGACCACTGCATCTTTGAACCTTGAAAAACATGATTTTGTCTTGGTTCATCATAGTGTATTTGGTGCGGTTCTCAATCAAATCGAAAAGAATTGTATCGATAGCTGACTTGATTCTTTTTTTTTCCTTGTTCGCTACAGCTGTAGCTGTATCCCTACATGTTCCAATCTCTGTTGTTGCATGACTGCGCAGATGATGATTGGTATTATTTAAACTTTTTTTTCGTTTCCAGGCTGTATTTTGCGGTGCATGGGCGTCATGCATGTACTTCGGTTTACACATTGAGCTTAGTCGCTCGTCATCACGGTTGCTTCGGAGAACCACAAAATAAATATCATTTTTTCTTGCACATTGATTACTAATGAAAGGGGGTATCGTCATCGAGGTGACTTTACAAGTGACGTGTAATTTACATTTGCACTGGAGATACATATCCTTTATTTCCTCACAATCTGCGCACAGCGGTATTCTGATCGTGCCTGTATATCCGTGCCCGACGCTTACACCAAGACCCGCATAGGCCATGGATGGCGGTTCCGTAAGGATATATAAAAGAAAATTTCGTCTTGCCTCGTTGCACGTCCGGGTCGATGACGCCCGCTTGAGTGGCGGCTTCTACTTTCTGTGGAAAAGTCTTGGGACGTCATAAGACAACGTTATCGTGTTCCTTCCGAGTAAGGCACTGGTCAGCAGGTCCGTAAGGGGACGCCAAAACCTTTATATTTGATTTCAAGTGCTGTGGCGGAGTGATGCGCGCCGGGTGGAGGGTCGTGTGATCGATACGGTGGCAGTCTTGAGCCGAATTGTCGTACACATGAAAATTTCAACTAGTACGTGTTTCCCGAGACCTTCGGATTAGGGGAACTTCAAACACAGTTTGATATCATTACGAGTGTTGGAACACGGTCGAGAACATATTATGGTACTGGTGGTAGTGAGGCGTTGTATAGTAAGTACGTTTTGTGAGTATTACAAAAGTGAGCGTGGGGCTGTATACTAGAAGGAACGAAAAAGCACAGATGTCGTGCATCGGGCGCATTAAGGCGCGGGTGGTGAGCATAAAAGAGGAATAAATATTAAAGAAAGAATATATGGATATGTGCAAGGAAGGTCGTTGGCAAGCGATGTCGTCCCAATGATGTTAAGTTGTTGTGTGTACAATGATGGCACAAGACGCAGCTGGTGCAGCCTTATTTAAGGTTCATCAAGATAGAAGCTCGGTGATACGGTCATGCGTCGTGCACGGTCAGACTCGGCAGTCTCTGCGAGGAGTATTGTGTATGGTAAAGAACTGCATGCAGGTGACTGCGGCAGGAGTCTGAGGAGATGATTCGCAGCGTGACCTCGAGAGGTCAAAGACAGGGAGGTGTGCGGGAGCAGTGGCTCGTTTATTAGGTATTGACCGCACGACGGACCTCTTGTCTGTGGGGCTGAGCATGAATGCTGGGATAGGAGGAACTGGGGGTGGTGGAGACGCGATGGTAGGGCTAGGTGGCGGGGAGCGATAACGGGTTGATGAATGACCGAAGCTGGGCCTTGTAGTGCGAGTTGGAGAAGGAGAATTGGAAGAAATAAGGAGTGATGATATTGATGAGTTACTTCTCCTTCCCAAAGCGTGTTTACGAGCGCCGAAATCATCGTCTTCACCAAAGAGACCCTCCTTTGCCTTTCTGTCTAAGCGGTCATATGACCTGGACGCGTTTAGAGTATTCTGCAAAAGTGGGGAGCCTATAAGGCGAGGGGGGATTGGAGGTGAATTGTTTGCGGGAATGGTCAAACGAGAGATTCGATGAATGGGGGGTGGTGAGGGTAAAGGAGTTGGTACGAGCTCAGGGGAAGGCATGGGAGGAGGAGGAGATTGAGAACGACGAGAAAAGGACATGGTGATGATGATGGTGGATGGGCGTACATTTTATTGAGGTGGTTTTTATATAAAAAGGTGTTTACAAGTTGTTCCGAAAGATTCGAATGCAGTCCGAGTCACGAACGTAATTGGTTTACCATTGAGCCGGTGTGACATGCCCAAGTGGGGATATGGTACTCCGAATCACTTATTACCGAATATACTGAGTCACAAGTTACCGTTCAACGTGTTTTCGAAAGCGAGTTGCCTTTGACGTGCACTAGTCATATTTATTTTTCAATGGACAATGCAGGTCTACGCCACCCCGAACTACTACAAAGCAAGTCGGAGTGCGGTACAGCAATGGCGTATACGGAGGACGCGTGGGACTATGGAAACCAGGGTAAGCCACCAACAGGAGTTAAATACGTCAATATTGTACACTGCCTCTCCTCCTATGGATCTTCCGAGTCTTACTCCGATTCATTGCAAGTACTCTTTGATCCTCTAATTAAAACGCACTTCTTCGATTCGCATATTGTGCTCGTCGTCGATACCAATGATCAGATCAAATTAACTGTACATGAAACGGCCCTAAGAAGAACCAGAAGCCTTCCATCCAAATCAGGACTCCTCAGCTTGCCCATTGTTCTATTCAGCGTTAGACCATCATCATTGTCCCCTCAATCCGGTCAATAACACTGATTTAACTCCTCGGAAGTTTGTCCTGAATCTTGTACCTGTCGACCCTCCATGTACCCCTCGGCACATAAACTCTACCGCCGCCATGCCGTGACAAATATACTATTGAACCGCATGCCACTCCAAAGTGTGCACGCCTTCCTTTCAGCTTGTATATATCCTTGGTCGCCAAATTGACACTGATTCGCGTCCATAGTAACTAGCACTTCCCGCTCCTCTTATTCCGCGGTTTCAAATTTAGCAATAACCCTGCAGGTCCATCTTTTGCCGCCGGGTGATCTCGTGAAGTAGTACGTCCACATCAACCCTTTTGTATTTCACCTTCCATGCTGAGTGTGTGGCCCAGTAATAAAGTCCTTGCGGCTGACTTGCTGGATGAGGCTGGCAAAATACAGCCAATAAACGCGAGTTCATGGCTAACACTATGTGCGACGCAGTCACTTGTGATGCAGTCTAGATGTCAGCCCCACTTTCAATCGTGCACTCTGTTCTTGTGCGCCGCTGCAGTCGCGTCAGCCCCAGTGGCTGATACCAACCTAAAAACGAGTCTACCTTGCATGTCCTCTCATGATTGACATTCGTCTTCTCTACGTTTTCACCATGTTATCTTGCATATTCGCAACGTTGTCTCTCCTTCCACTCCTTACCCTTTCCGCTCCTTCAGTCCAGTTATCTTCTAGCTATGGAAAATCAGCGAACCTGGCAACCCATGCCCATGTCGGACGCAACATTCCAGGGACCCTCGTGATGACCTACTTTGTTGACTGGGCACCCCGCGCCAACATGAACTTTGGGCTATTCGACTTCATCGACTTTGCGTTTGCTCTCCCAGACGCAGATTTCAAACTCGTCTTTGATTCGCCTGATGCGTCTACCTTACTCCGCAACCTCGTGTCTGATGCGCATGCTGCATCCACGTCGGTCAAGATTAGTATTGGGGGATGGACAGGCAGTCAGTCAGTAGTACCCCTGACTTTCTTTTCCTCCGCGTCACTCATAGAATTTAAGCTATTTCTCGCAAGCGGTGTCTACACCAGCTAATAGGAACACCTTCGTCAACAATATCCTCGACACCTACACCGAATACAACCTCGATGGCGTCGACATCGATTGGGAGTACCCCGGACAAGCAGGCAGACAAGGCAACACCCAAAGTCCAAGCGATGAAGAGAACATGCTCGAGTTCCTGAAGCTTCTTAGGCTAAAGCTCCCCCTAGGAGCGAAAATATCAGCCGCTGTTCAGAACACTCCCTTCGCCGGCCCCGACGGTCAACCTATCAAGGACGCGTCTGGTTTTGGGAAGATAGTTGATTGGATCTTGCTCATGAATTACGACGATTTTCAAGGTCCATTTTCATTTGAATCGAACGATAGGAAAGTACTGATGCATAGTAAAATTATAGCTGTAACCCCCCCTGGTCCGAATGCGCCCCTGTACGATGGGTGTGGAAATTCTACTCAGCCATCCCAGAACGCAGTAGCCGGGTACAACGCCTGGACAGCAGCAGGTTTCCCTGCTAACAAATTGGTTCTCGGCATTCCAGCATATGGCTATGTCAGCAACGTAGGCGTAGACCACCTCCGACAACGCCGCTCTCCTGAAGCCCCACGTCTCCACCGCCTCGCTAGGCGCACCACTGTTAATTCTGATGACGACCATCAAATCCAGTTTCGAGATCTCGTGACCGAGGGCGTCCTGCAGCGTAATAATGACGGAACGTACGCCGCCGTGCCTTCAAGCGGCTTCCAACGTTCCTGGGATCAGTGCTCCGCGACGCCCTTCTTGCATTCAGACGCGCAGACTATTCCGTACGACGATCCCGAATCTCTCGCCATGAAAGGCGCGTTCGTAAAGAAGACGGGTATGCTTGGAGTCAACATGTTTGATGTGCACGGGGAAACAGACCAGTGGGATCTTATTACGGCGACGCGGAATGCTCTTTTTGGTGCACCATCTACTCCGGCATCTGAATCTGTTTCAGCTTTGACACCTTCCTCGGGTTCGCCGCCTGCGCCTTCAATTCCCGGGAATCAGCAAGCGCTGGGTGGACCCTTGGCATGAACTGGCAGCGGTTGACTGCGGGTACCTTGACATGGCATGCTGTGCGTGCGATTGGGTTTCTAAGAGGAATCGGGCGCTGCCGTGCTTGGCTCTCTTGGTTTGGTAAAGTGGGATGGGGGTTCACATTGTCAATCAATGAAGATGGTACCTTTTTTTCATATCGCCCAACAAGTAACACGTTCTAGTCGTGAGGTATTATTAAGTTGGCAGACCCATTTATATCGATGGCATCTTTCTTGACTCGTAATCAGCCAGAAGTTGAGAATCGGGAAATGAAACGATAAATTTCCGTATGGGGGGTATACGATATGATATGGTAACGGACGAGTCCCTTGGTTATTCCCCCCCTACTAGCGCGAACTTTCACCCCGGTGGTCATTGAGAAAGCGGTAGCGCTGAGTACGAGAGCGTGATTATCGTCTCCGATAGCGATTATAACATGCACAGCACCGATTGGATGGGGATAGAGGGGAAGTGGATATGCGGTGCGTAAAATGAATGCGATAGACGCACATGAGGGCCACGAACTCGCGCGACACTATGTCTACGGACCCGGGATCCCTATACCGCGACGGACCGGCGATAAGAAAATGCCGCTGGCCAAATTCATATGGCACTTAAAATCTTCTTCAACCCTTTGAAGGAGCCGGAGCTCTGGGCGGTGGTGCGCCCATTCAAGTTGGTGGAACCGAAAACCTTTCGAAGGTCTTCGCACATGACGTGGTCATCACGGGGCGACTGCGCATGACCAAAGAGGACAAATACGTTGGTAGAAGCAGGACCAGAAGGGAAGACAGAGAAGTGAGTGTTTTTGTTGGAAGCCATTTAATATCCCGTTAATGCGTACGGGTGATGCGGCTAGTGCGAGTTAGGTATGTTGCTCGGGGGGAATTCATGTTGAAAGTTCGGGCTGTTTAAGTACTTTGACTCCAAACCTTGCCTTGTCGGTTGCTGCTGCTCTGGCGACCGGGTGAGACTCGGACAAGGTCGAGGAAGAAAGCAAGCAATCAGATGCGGCGCCAATAATTGCCTTTTTTAGTGCTGGGACCTACGAACATACCTTGAACTGGAACACTCTATTGTCTGCGCGCAACACGCGGTATGTTTCCACGCGTAGCTTGTCGCCTACTGCTGAAATCCTCAGTTAACTGGTTCGCAGGCCGGTGCGCCTCTACGCATATGATTTATCGGAGACCTATTATTAGGCATATTTGAATAGATCGGTTGGCGGAGAAAGCCTTGTCTTTAGCAGGAAACATTGAAACAACTGTCAGTGAGTGTTTGATCTGCCTAACAACCGCTCGGAAAGTAATGGAAACAAGGTCCTCAATGAATACCTCTCCATCGCGATAAACCGATCAGCGTATCGCAAGCAACGGTTATGTCGTACCTCCCACCCTCAACCCTACCCGGCATGCCCCTCCTGCTATCCCTCAACCCCAATAACCTAACATCATCCTCCAATTCCGGCTTTTGATAGACATTCATCCATGGACTCAACCAATCGGTGTCCGCGCCGTCATCATACCTAACACCCCTCCTGATCATGGCCTCCCTCATAGCCTTGGTCAGATACTCCTGCACGCCCTCAGCATAATCCGTAGGGACTCTATCCAGCACCTTCCTCCTCATCAACCGAATGTCGTCATCCAGAGCCAACAAATCTAGCGGTGAAAGTTGGAGCAAGTCACGCAGGTTTGCGCCACCGATGGTTGCTTGTGTGGGTATCGTGTTGGAACTCCGAGCTAGCTCTGTTTCTAGCCGGCATATGACACCAGTCAACAGAGTTACTTCGCGTTCCTTTCGCTGAGCCTCGAGGGAGAGTCTTTCAACGTCGCTTCTTAGACGTTGTAATTCACTGTTAAAGGTGGGTTCCATTATCATGATCTGAGAATACTAGGGCTATGCTATGAGTTAGTCCATGTAAGTACGAAGTAGCGGAATATACACACTCAACGCTGAGGTGGAATATTGTGATAACCAACTGATGGATCAGTCAATCGCGCGTTATTTAATGTAACTTCAGTGAAGAGACGCCCAACAAACAGTAACAATCGGTGGTCAATACATTATTATATTCTCTCCAAACTCTAACATATATCGGTAAGGATGAAACGTACAGAACGGTTGATTCTCTGGTGATATTCCCTCTCAGCGTCCATTCGAATATGAGTGCGGGTTATGGTTACACTCGACTGCCCGTTGTGTCCAAGCATCAAGATTGATATCGATATCAGCTACAGACTCGACTCTGTTGATCAGTATGCGCTCCAGATCGTCAATTATTCATCGGCCAGTTTCATTTTACACCAAGAACCTGATACTTTCCACTGCGTCGTCTGTGAACCCAGGTTTTGGGCTTAAATTATCTCCTCTGGAAGAGAGGTTCGCTGAGTGGAAGTTGGGCCTGGTCCAGGTTGACTTCCGGGTGAACCAGTTTGCTACATTGATCGTCAATACCTACAGACCGTATACTTGTAGCACTGGCTCTACTCCCCCATGCAGATGTTGCTTCATTGGTGACAGAACGGAGGGAGGTGTCTTTGCACGCGCTGTAGACTTTGAGGTTAAATCTCTGGGCTCTGTCAGGGTCCATCACGAAGTCACTATTTGCTTCTGGAACATACACAAACAAACACGAGCAAACACATCCTAGATAAATTTTGAAAATTCTCTTTCCTCCGCATATCGATCAACGTCTGCGGTGGAAGATGCAACTGGCGCGAATGGTGAGTTTACAGTTACATGTTTCGCTCTTCTCTTGTTCCTGCGGTGGTGATGACATATTTATTCACACTGTATGAATCTGTGCGTCTATTGGATGCATGGATTGTGAGTTTTTTCTACAACGGTAGCTGAGCCGCTTTTACTCTGTCAAATTTACTCTACCAAGACGTATCACTAACAATAATTCTCAGGTACCCTTTCGATTGCTCAAGATATGTGATCGGCTGTTATAAATGTCACCCGCTACTATCAGCTTTGCACCGCATTTGATGGGCATGTCCCTAGACCCTATATAACCATGCTGTATTATTACTGTCAGAAAGATATTGTTATTGTTATCGATGCGGGTAGTGAGGTGATATTTCAATTCGGTGGCAGCCCCGTCTCGTACTATTGGGTTTCAACTTCTGAAGGGTCGAGGGCAGCTTCGCTATCAAAAGCGTCCTTGGGAACTTGGCCTTGCATCTGCGTAAGGGCTCCCCTGAGGATATACAGATATGGACCAGATTTGACAGGAGGCGGGGTAGTTTGATATCCGACCAATAAGTTGCACCGCGGACATGAGAATCTGTACTGGCGCTCATGTCCCTCTGGCCTGCACCTTCCAATCAGTCCCACCCACCATGCATCCAGTTTGTTCGTACCTTTCGACTAGAACGGGATCGGTCGATATGGCGTTTAATTTGAGAACGATTGCATTTTCTGTACCGCTATCCTGACAGCGAATGATGGTAGCACCATCCGTCTGGCGCTTTGGGAGCGCTGAAAGGCTTCTTTCGATTACGAGCTGTCATGTATCTTGCGTAAGTTCGTGACAGGAGTGCCGAGCCTGACTGAAAACGCGCACGATGAATTCGCCACAGATACAGTCTGTGCAAGGGACGCAGGTGAACTAATGCGGCCAACGTTGGCGTAGTACGGTACTCACAATACACCCTGAGAGCAGCTGCGGCTGATGCCGTTGGCCGTGCTAAGAAAATGAGCAACTGATGGACCAGATAGTAATTGGAATATCGGATGTGACTGACCATCCGTGGATGAGGAGACCGCTGAACGAGAGACAACCTTTGGCATGATTAATGTTTCACCAGAAACTCCTGCTCGGACAGAGACGCCGTACGTGGTCGAGACTGGTCTCGGATCTCGTTGGAACAAAATCCTGAGAGTTGGCAAGATGTTAGGTAGCAAGATGAAAAGTCAAAGGGTCATATGGTCACGTGGGTCAGCCGTCGTAATTAACTTCAATTGTTTCCATCTCCCTCATTCTTTCACCCGACCGTCAACTGCTCTGTACATGGCAGAAAAAGATGCTACCGTACGCCTCCGTAGAGCGGTCAAAGGTTTTTCATTTTACCGGTATCAGTCTGTCGCTTTTAATGATCCCCATATCTACAGAGAACAATCTGTTCCTCGTCAAGAGACTCATTCAACGAACTGACATGCGGAATCCTGACCCCGGTCCAAAGCGTTACACATCATTAGCTTGGGCCGCTGTATTGGGACATGAGGAGACGTTCGAGTTTTTACTTACAGCTGGGCATGACGATGAAGAACTCAGCAGGGTACGCGCTCGCCACAAGTGTTGTCCTCAGAGGTTTTGACCACGTCATCTATCAGGAATCCGAGAACAACACTATTCTCATGCTATTGGCCGATTTCAAGTCTCCACCACCTAACCCTTACGCGCCAGGTCCCTCGCAGGTCGATCTCATGGGTGCTGCGCTTCGCATGGCAAGACTTTACTACGAACGTTACCCGTGGATTCTTGATTGGTCCAACGTACAAGGGAAAACGGCGTTGCATATGGCCGCTCTCAAAGGGAACGAGGAACTCGTTCGCGTGAGTCACTCGGAACCTCGATTATATCATGAGCTTGAGCTTATTTTATCTTGATGCCCTTCTCAAGATGCTGTGTGATTTGGGTGCTGACTTCGATCTGTCGGATAATAAAGGCAATACTCCTCTACATTAGTAAGTTTCTTCCAGTCATCGGGTCTTGGAATTTGACTAATCCCCATCAGTGCAAGTTCTTGGGGTCATATACCGGTACGCGGAGCACATCTGATCCATTGCAACGTTCTTCCTCGCTTACTTTTCAACCCCAGATTGTTCAGCTTTTAATTGAACGAGGTTGTCAATTTGCTGCTCGAAACAATGACGGATTTACTGCGTCCGATTACGCATATTCGTGAGCCTAGCACTTTTTCGTACCAATTACTAGGTTGTTAACGGTAACAAAGTTTCAGCACACGGGACACTTTGCAGGACTCTGC